CCCGGGGGCTCCCCAGCACCCCGCCCCCAGACACACAGCCCCGGGCTCCCGGCCACCCCCTCCCCCCGCCAGCCCCACAGTCCTGGCACCCAACCCGCTGGACAAACATTCCGTCTCGGGCACGCTGGACGCAGACCCAGAGCCTGACTTCCAGGTCTCTGGCGGGCTGGGTCCAGGGCCCGGGACTGGCCTCCAGCCCTGCCGGGCACACGGGTCCCAGTTCCAAACCCCGATCCTCCACGCCAACCGCTGCACCTGACCCTCGTGGGCAGCTGGCGAACTCCTCCACGCCCCACAAAACCTCAGCTTCCAGGCCCCTCCTACTGCCCAGCCAGTCTTTGCCAGCCCTTGGGGTCGGGAGGGTCTTTGTCTCTGGCTCTAGGTCACAGGAGGGCGGGGAGGGGGTCCACAGCATGACACAGGGTCCCTGTGATCCTGGTATGCCAGGGAAGCGTAGGCCGACTCAGGGGTCGGCACTACAGGACTATGAACACAGGGACCCTGGGGCCTGGGCAAGACACAGTGACCAGCAGAGCCCAGAAGCGACCCCTGAGTGCTCTGAGCTTCGGGGAAACGGGGCGGTCGAGGTCTCGTTCCTGAGTTCTCTCTCTCAGGAGCACCCCCGAGTTACACGACGATCAAAAATGGGCTTCGAGGGGCGCCCAGGGAGGTGCGCAGGGTGACTTCAGGTTCGCTCCCCGGCACCCGAGCCCCGCCGGAAGCGACCCCTAAGCGTAGAGACAGGAGTCGGCCTTGAGCACCGCCGGGTGTGGCTCCCCCAAGCCCCCCAAGAAAGGGCCGGAGTTTAATACTTGTGACGCCCGAGTTTGATCCCCAACCTCTTAACACAGACCTGTCCGCTGGCCCTTGGCACTGTCTGGGGCAGACCCAGTGAACCCCCAGAATCTCTGGGCCCGCATACTGGACATGGAAGTGGTTGGGACCCCCTGACACTACTGGTGAGCCCCCTCCCCCAATAAAATACCTCTGTGTCCTGAAGTAAAGGATCTAAATAAGGGGACCGGAGTGATAGGCCAGCGAGTAAGGCATTTGTCCTGCACGGAGCAGACCCGGGTTCGATCCCTGGTATCCCATAGGGTCCCCCAAGCACCCGCCAGGAGTGGTCCCTGAGCACAGAGCCAGGAGTAACTCTAAGCATCGCCGGGTGTCACCCAAAAAGAAAAAAAAAAAAAGACTTTAAATGAGGAGACCAAGCAATAGGACAGCGGGGACAGCCCTGGCCTTGCACATGGCCGAAGAGGTCCGACCCCCAGTAGCCCGAAGGGCCCCCCGTGCCCTACCAGGAGTCAGCCCTGAGCACCCGCCAGGTGTGGCACCATAAAAGAAAACCTAGGGGCCAGAGCGATAGCACAGCGGGGAGGGCGTTTGCCTTGCACGCGGCCGACCCGGGTTCGATCCCCGGCATCTCATAAGGTCCCCTGAGCACTGCCGGGAGTAATTCCTGAGTGCAGAGCCAGGAGTAACTATCCTGAGCATCGCCGGGTGTGACCCAAAAAGCCAAAAAGAAAAAAAAAAAAGAAAACCTAAGAAATCAAAAAAGCAAAAACCGTACCGAAGGGATGGGACAGCGTGTGTTTTAGGGTCCAACAAACCTCTAGGCTTTGGGAGGTGCCCATGGGGGCCGGGGCTGGGTGCTGGGCAGGACCCATCTCCCAGAGACCCTGTAGCTTGAGGAAAGAGGCCCCACCATTGCAGATAAGGACTCCAAAACCCGGGGTGCACCTCCCCAAATCCCAGACAGCAGCCCTCTGCGGGAACCAGGACTCCCACTGGCCCTGGGCCCACTTCCTTTTTGTTTATTTGGGGCCCCACCTGACAGTGCTCAGAACTATTCCTGGTCACATTCGGGGAACCACATGAGTTCAAGCCCGGGTCAGCTGCGTGCTAGGCAGGCTGTCCTCTCTCTGCCCTGCAATCACGGCTGCAGGTGCCACCCAGGATGGGTCTCAGCAAGGACACTTGCCTTCCCCGTGCCTCAGTTTCCCCTCTGTGCTCAGGGGTCACTCCTGGCGGGGCTTGGGAGACCCTGGGGGATGCCAGGGATCGAACGTTCGTGTGGATGACCCCTGACCCACGCATGCACCCAGGATGCTCAGGGAGAGAGTTCTAACCCCTCCCACCGCCTCTGCAGGGCTGGAACCATCCAGAACAGGCCCCTGCACAGACAGGAAGTGGGTGTCTGGGGCTGGGGGGAGGGAGCAGGAGCTGCGGGTAGGGACGGATGGGGCTTCTGTGGCAGGGCCTGGAATGTTCTAGAACTAGAACAGATGTCTACTGTCGGCCTGCATTTGAACTCGGAACCCCACGTGAGCACACTAGAGGGAAAGGGATTCTGAGTCACATAACCGCCAAGTCAGTAACGCAACTCGGGGGCCGGAGTGATAGTCCAGCGGGGAGGACACTTGCCTTGCGCTCAACCGACCTGGGTTCGATCCCCGCCATCCCATATGGTCCCCTGAGCTGCCACCAGGAGGAATTCCTGAGCACAGAGCCAGGAGTAACCCGTGAGCATTGCCAGGTTGTAACCCAAAAAGCCAAAAATGAATACATAGTGGCTGGAGCGATAGCACAGCGGGGAGGGCGTTTGCCTTGCACGCGGCCGACCCGGGTTCGATTCCCAGCATCCCATATGGTCCCCCGAGCACCGCCAGGAGTCATTCCTGAGTGCAAAGCCAGGAGTAACCCCTGTGCATTGCCGGGTGTCACCCCACCCTAAAAGAAAAATAAATACATAAATACATAAAATAACATGACTTGGCCAGGGTGATAGTCCGGCGGGAAAAGCTCCCGGCCTTGCACGCAGCCGACCTGAGTTCGTCCCTGGCCCCCCACAAGATCCCCCGAAACCTAACAGAACTGACCCCTGAGCAGAGCCAGGAGTGAGCCCTGAGCACAAACCAAACCTTCCAAAAGGCCAATCCAAGTGTCTGTCTCCAAGGAAACCCCTCGCCCCCAGTCACCAGGCTGTGCCTGTGACCTTGGAGGCTCAGGGGACCCCCAAGTCCCAAGTCAGGTCCCCCAGGCAAAGCTTCCCCAGGTGGGCAGACGGCGGCCACCCACAGCTATCCAAGCTTCGGGGGTGGAGATCATCCCCAAACCCTGCCAGGACCCAGAGGAAGAGGTGGCACCGGTCCAAGTGGACGCCGCTGCCGGCCCGGCAGCCACGTGCCAGGAAGGGGTGGGGCCACCCCAAGTCAACACAGCTGGCGCCGGCCCCCCTGCACACCAGCCCAACAGGCCAGGCCTGCCCCCGCCCCCATATCCAGCAGCCTGTCCCACCTTCACCCTGGGGGTCAGCGCAGCTGCCTGCCACAGGGCCTTTGCACATCCCCCTTCTACGGCCGAGCACCATCTCCTCTGGGACATGGCCAGTGCTCACATCCCCAGCAGCCTGGCCACAGACAATTTCCACTGACCACTCAAGTGCACACTGGTCCCACTTGGGGGTCCCAGCCTCCGTTTCCCCCATGGTCCCCAGGTGCCACCCAGACATTGCCCGTCAGACCCTGGGGCAGGCTGCAGGGTAGGGTCCTGAGGCCCCTGGGCTTGGGTCTCTCTCTATCCTCCTTCTGGCCTGGGGGGGGTCCAAGGAGTAACTTGAACCCCAGGAAAACCCACAGAGACGGGCACCAGGATACCCGGTCCTCAGCTGCTTGAGGAAAGACGCAGGGAAACTGAGGCAGAGTAGGCCCGTGGAACCTGCCTAGGGCGGTGGCCTCCCAGTTGGTCACCTGCCAATGCCAGCCAGGGGCCAAGCAGGAGGAGGGGAGCGGCCTCGCCCCACCCAAGGCCTCAACTTGGCCTTGAGGCTGAGCCCAGCTCAGGACCAGCACACTGCCCAAACTCAAGAGACAGCACAGCGGGGAGGGGCTGGCCCTGCACATGGCCACCCTGGGGATGGAACCCTCCGGGTCCCTTACACCCTGAGCATCACCAGGTGTGGCCCCCCAAAAAGTCCCCACAGCTGGGGCTGGAGCGATAGCACAGCAGGTAGGGCGTTTGCCTTGCACGTGGCCGACCCGGGTTCGATTCCCAGCATCCCACAGGGTCCCCTGAGCACTGCCAGGGGTAATTCCTGAGCACAGAGCCAGGAGTAACCCCTGTGCATCCCTGGGTGTGACCCAAAAAGCAAAGAAAAAGAAATGGACCTTGGGCTGGAGCCACAGCACAGCGGGTAGGGCACTTGACTTCCACACGGCTGACCCGGGTTCGATTCCCAGCATCCCATATGGTCCCCCGAGCACTGCCAGGAGTCATTCCTGAGTGCAGAGCCAGGAGTAACCCTTGAGCATCGCCGGGTGTGACCCAAAAAGCAAAAAAAAAATAAATAAAGTCCCCCAGCTGAGCGTCTATGGGGGAAGGGGCCGGAATGAGCAGGAGTCTGGGTTCTGGGTCCCCCACAAGCCCAGACCTGGGTCCAGGGCGGCCCCCCCCACACACACACACTGTAGCCTGGCTGAGGCCCAGTTCCCGCTGGCCGCTCCCGGAGGTCAGCAGGGCCCAGCTGGCCGCAGGCTGGAATGTGAGCCAGGCCTGGGCAGTCTCTCGCCATCTGGTTCCCATCTGGCCTGGCCCGCGCCAGGGACTTCAAAGCCACCCCCTGCCTGGCCGTTTCCTCTGGCCCCAAAGAGCTGCTGGCTGCTTCCTCCCCGCCCCCCAGGACCCAGGAGGGCAGGGCCACCCCACCTCACACCTCCCCACACCCCCCACCCACTGGGAGGGAGGGAGGGCGGCCGACCCGGTTCCGTCGCCAGCACCCAGAGGGTCCCTCCAGCCCCCCCATCAGGGTCAGTACAGAGTCAGGAGTTACTACCCCTGGGCATTCCTGGGTGTCACCCCAAAACACAAACTAGCAAGAACTCCAAACCAGGACCCCAGGCGGGGTCCGCCGAACCCCCGCTACCCTCGTGAGACCCCCCTGCAACATCCCCACTGGAAAGGGGACCCCGGAGGGGGGTGGGGGCGGGGACGGTGCCCACCTGTTTGAACTGCTCCTCGTAGGTCCAGTCCCCGTGGTCAGGCGGCTGCATTGGGGGGAACACGTGGGCGGCGCCCCCGACCGCGGCCGGCCCAGCCCCGGCGCGGTCCTGGCCACCCAGCGCCCGGGGTCCATCCCCGCCACTGCGGAAGGTGGGGGGCGGCTGGGCCTTGCGGGGGAACAGGGCGGCGGGGCCGGGGGGGCCCAGCCCTTCCTCGTCGTCTTCCTCGTACTCCTCCTCTTCTTCCTCCTCCTCCTCCTCCAGCTCTTCCTCCTCTTCTTCCTCCCACTTCGGCTTTCTGTTGGGGGGGGGCCAAAAAGGTGAGGGGTCATGGCTGTAGAAGCCCCCCTGTCCCCTGTCCTTGCTGGCCCTGCTCCCAGCCTATTCCCGGGGGTCCGGGGGCTAAACCCCAGTCAGACCCCCCTCCCCGCACCCCCGGGTCATCTGCCTTCCTCCTGAGCAACACCTGGCGATGCTGACGGCCCCCAGCTGGGCAGGGGTCCCCCCGCTGCACCCCACTCTCATCTGCCTTGAAGAGAGCAGGACCCAAGGGGCCCCAGGGGCCAATTTTGTTTGCTTCAGGCCCATACCCCACAGTGCTCAGGGCTGACTCCTGGCTCTGGGCTCCAGGATCACTCGTGGCGGGGCTTGGGGGACCCTGTGGGGTGCTGGAGAGGGAACCCCCCGTTCTCCGCCCCGCTGTGCGGATGCTCAAGGCTCAGGCTCCAGCCCCAGGGCCAGTTTTTGCCAATTCATGGGACAGAAAGTGAAAAACCCAAAATTGGGGTCAGGGACTAGAGCGATAACACAGCGGGTAGGGCGTCTGCCTTGCACGTGGCCAACCCGGGTTCGATTCCCAGCATCCCATATGGTCCCCTGAGCACCCCAGGAGTCATTCCTGAGTGCAGAGCCAGGAGTAACCCCTGAGCATCGCCAGGTGACCCAAAAAGCAAAAAAAAAAAAAACAAACAAAAGAAAAACAAAGTTGGGGTGAACCAAGGGTTGGCGGCAACCTTGGGGGGTGCTGGCCATGCATGCAGACCATCCGGGTTCCATCCCCCGCACCCCAGAGGGTCCCTCCAGCCCCCTCAGGAGGAAGAGAAAGTGACAAGCCCAAAGTCGGGGTGAGCCAAGGGTCGGTGCATGGTTGGGACACTGCTGACCCCAGCTAGAACATCTAGAATATTCTAAAGAGGGGCTGGAGCAATAGCACAGCGGGGAGGGCATTTGCCTTGCACGCGGCCGACCCGGGTTCGATCCCCAGCATCCCAGGTGGTCCCATGAGCACCGCCAGGGGTAATTCCTGAGTGCAGAGCCAGGAGTAACCCCTGCGCATTGCCGGGTGTGACTCAAAAAGCAAAAATAAATAAATAAAAAATAAAGAGGGGCTGGAGCAATAGCACAGCGGGGAGGGCATTTGCCTTGCACGCGGCCGACCCGGGTTCGATCCCCAGCATCCCATGGGGTCCCCAGAGCACGCCAGGAGTGATTCCTGAGTGCAGAGCCACGAGTAACCCCTGTGCATCGCCAGGTGGGACCCAAAAAGCAAAAACTAAACAAACAGCACAGGATGTTCTAAGGGCCGGGTGGGAGGCCAGGTACCTGGTTCCAGGGAAGCTGCACGTGGGACCCCCAAACCCCCCCCTCCGCCCGCCCCCAACCCGCACTCACAGCTCATCCTCGGAGGCCTCGTTCTCCGAGTGCTCGTCCTGGTCCCCTTCGCCGCCCGGGCCCGGGCCCTCGGCGGTGTCCGCGCTGGGGGACGCGGCCCCGGCCTCGCCGCTGGCCGCCGCCGCCTCGTCCTCCTCGGAGCTGCTGGCCCCGGCCGCGTGGCCCAGGCCCGCGGCGGCCGCGCGCATCGCGGCCAGCGCGGCCATCTGCGCGCGCTGCATCCGCGCAGTGTCCGCATCCCGGTCCTCCTCCGGGGGCGGCCGGGCGCGGGGGGCCGGCGGGGGCGCGGCGGCGGCGTTGGCGGGGGGCTCGGGGGGCTGCCGGGCCTCCAGCTCCTGGCGCGCCCGCTGCTGCCGTTGCAGGAGCGTCTCCATCACCGCCTGCAGCTTCATGGCCCGGCGGGCCGGGCCGCCCCGGGTACCAGGGGCGGGCGGCCCCTGCGGGGACGGGGCCCGGCCGCACTGCAGCGTGGGGGCCGCGGGGGAGCCGGGGCAGTGCAGGGTGGCGAGGGGCGAGTGGGCAGCAGCCGCTGGGCTCAGGCGGAAGGCTGGTGGGGCATTCCAGCCGCGGGCAGCAGCGTCTTCTTAGGCTGGACTCTGGGCGTCCAGCTCGGCTCACGTGTTTGCAGAAACCTGGGGAGGGGGAGGGGGTGCCGGAGAGATCGTCAGAGTGGGCGCCCTCCCCCACCCCCCTCTAGGGACCCCGAACCACCCACCCACCTCGGGTCTCCGAGAAAATCCCTCCACCCCAGGATGCAAACCTGGAGGCCTTCCTGGAGGCAGAGGGCCATGCTGACCCCCATCTGCCAGCCCAGGGAGCTGGGGAGCAGGGTTACCCCACCACCGACTCCCAGGGGTTCCGGGCGGGTCAGAGCCAGAGACCCACGGGTGGGTCCACCCACCATCCCTCCCTGGATTATTGCTTCATAAGCACAGGAAGTGGGAGGTGAGTGGTCCAGGCCCAGGATAGGCCCATGGGCAGGCAGAACTCAGAACCTGGAGGGTTCTGGGTTCCACCTCTGAGTTCCGGCCACTGCTCACTGTGTGGGTCAGGTGGTCCAGATCTAAGCGGGGCTCCGAGGGGGCCACAGTCTCTCCCCTGGGCTCCCCCCAAAGCTTCACTTCTGCTCCGGGCCCCCGCACTGCCCTTTGCCAAGACGGGGTCATACGTGTCCTCTGTCACAGGCCAGCTGGCTGTGCTGGGACGCCTCCTGGGTGCCAGGGAGGGCATGTTCCCTCCCTTTATTATTTTTGGGGGACCCCCCCCACACAAAGCAGTGCTCAGGGCTGAGTCGGGAATCACTCACTCCTGGCAGGGCTCGGGGATGCTATGGGATGCCAGGGATTGAACCCGGGTTGGCCGCGTGCTAGGCAAGTCCCCTCTGGCCCGTCCTACGGCTCCGTGGTCCCACTAGTCCCCCCTTTTGGAGGCGAGGAAACTAGCTCGCAGACACCCCGAGTATCTTGGGATGTAGGGGTCGCCCCCACGGCACACCCCACCATCAGCAGGGTCACCACAGCTTCTCAGAAGCGTAAGGACTCACGTCCCAGCCCATGCCCTGCCCGTGGGGGGTGAGAAGGGCTGTGGCCAGCATCACCCCAGAACTTGGCATTCCTGGGCCAGCCCCAGCCCCCCCCCACCCAGACCCGGCCACTCCCCCATCCATCCGCCAGGCCGCCAATAAAACAGCCCGGGCAGAACCGGACAAGTCCTGCGGTGACACTCCACATGGTCCAGCAGGGGGACACAAGGACCAGGGGCCGCCCGGACGCAGACCTCACCAGCCTAAGTCAAGCTGTGGGTGCTTCATACAGGGGACTCAACCCTGCAACTCCAGTGGGGGGTGTTAGTAGAGGTGTCTGAGATCAGAACCCCCTTCCCCAATCATGGGGTCCCCTCTACCCAGGCACCCCCACCCACAAACCTAGGGCAACCAGCAGAAGGGCATTGGGGGGATGGGGGGGGATGGTGGTAACAGCTGGCGGCAAGGGGTCCCCAAAGAGCCCCAGGAACTTCCACAAAAGGACGCAAAGCACAAAGTCACACTCCCCCCAGTGAGGAGGCCCAGAGCTCGGAGGCAGTTCCTAACCCCCCACCCCAGGGACATACTGGGAGGGGGGGGCTCCCTCCAGCAGCCCCAAGAAGTGCTGAAGGGACATTTTTCACCCCTGGGTGGAAGCCCGGCGGCCCCTCCCCCACCTTTGACAACTTCAAAAGGTCCCCCCCCCCCCACGGAAATGCTCCGGGCAACGCCCCCCCCTTTTGGGGGCAGAAGGAAGAGACCAGAGGAAGCCACGCCCCCTGGACGTGTCTTCCCCCCCCACACACACACACACACACACGCGCACGAACCAAAGCGCGCACACGCGCGCGTGCACGCACAACTCCGCGGTTTAAAGACCCTTTCCCAGGCGCGTGGGGGAGGGGCTGCTGGGCCCGGCCACCAGGTCGGGGCTGCCGGAAGAGGCAGGTGGGAACCCCCGAGGTCCCCCCCCACCCCCATTAACCCACCCTGGCGGCTTCCACTCTCTCCAGCGCCCTCCCACCCCCTAGGCCCTTTGTCCCTGGCCCCTACCCCCACTTTATGACAGCGGGAAGGGGGGGATCCGAGCGAGGGGGCAATGATGGGGTGGGGGGGGCGGTGGGTGGTCGCAGGGAGCTGGCGGGGGGGAGGGGGCTGTGTGCGGAGGGGCCGCGGCCACACCCTCTGCCCCCCTTCCCGGAGGGAGCTCGCCCGCTCCGCCGGGCCTTGCAAAACACAGTTATTTAAAGAGTTGTGCAAGCGCGCACCGGGCGGCGGTGGCGAAGGGGCCCCTCATTCCGGGGGGGGGGGGGGAGGGGGGAGCAGCAGGCTGGGGAGGGGGGCGGCCCGGAGGAAATGAGCCAAGAAACTCGGAATAAATAAGATGAGAAAAGGAAAAGAAAAAGGGAAAAAAAAAAAAAAAAGAACCACACCACCCTATTCCGGATTTCAAAGACTTCTTGGAAAGCGGCCGATTTGCATGGGGGGGGGGGGGAGGCGGGGGGGTGTGGGGCGCGGGGTGCGGGTGTGGGGCGGGGAACCCCTCGGGCCTGGGCGCCCGAAAACGGAAGCGCGTTGACCAACGCGCCCCGGGGTCGGAGCGGAACGTTGGAATTGACAAATGGGGCCCGCGCCGCGCCGCTTCCTGGCGCTCGCTTTTGTGTCTGGGGGGCCCCTGAGAACCGGGGTGAGGCGGGGCGCGGGGGGGGGCTTTCCCGGGGATCCCCGGAGGACACGCACCCCATCCCCCTCGCCTGCCAGAGGACCCCCAGGGGCGCGATCCCGGGTCCCCCCTCCCCGGGCACCCCTTTCTGCCCGAGCGCGCCCGACGCTCTTCGGTACAAATGAAACGCAAACAGCGCCCGGGCGCCGGAGGGTCGCGGGGGACCTGCCGTCCCCGCCCGGGGCTCCAACTCCTCCCGGAGCTCGGAGAAAACACCCCGATCCCGGGGGGGACCGAGAAAAAAAACTCCAGCGAGGGGCCCGGCGCTCGCCCGGAGCCCGTTTCCTTCCGCTGGGGGAGCAGGCGGGTGGCGGGGGCGGGAGCGCGACCCCCGATCGCCCCCGTGCCAGGCGCCGGCGGCCGGGCGCGCAAGGGGCAGACCCACCAGCCAGGACCACCCTCTCCTCCCCGGCCCCCCCAAAGTCCGGGGGTCTCCTCCTTGGCCCCGCACGCCCCCCAACTTTGGGGAGACCCCCCTCGCACTGGCTCCCCACCAAGCGCGGTTTTCATAGCGCCAGCCCCACCCCCGGGGGCCTCACCGCGCGCAGCGCGCTCGGGGGGCGCACGCCCCGCGCCGGGGTCCGGCCCTGCCCGCCGCCGCCGCCGCCGCGCGCCGCTGCCTCCCCCGGGCCGCCGCCGGGTTTGCGCGACGCGCCGACTCACCGAGCCTCCCGCCGAGGCCGCGTCTACACCCCCATCCGACCCGATTGGTAAAAGTCTCCCCGCCCCTCCCCTCCCCCGGCCCCGCGCGCTCGCCGCCCCGCAGACAAATCACCGGGTGACAAGTCGCTCTGGGATGCAAATACCTCGCCGGTGATTCAGCGCCGGGGCCCGGGACGCGGGGAGGGGTCGACGCCAGCCCCCCCCCACTCCTCCTCGCCGGACGCCCCTTCGCCCCCCGCGCTCGGGGGCCCGACGCGCCGCCCGGCCCGGGGGTGCTGGAGAGGTCGACGGAGCGCGCGCGGGGCGCGGGGGGCGGGAGGCCGGACGCGGGCGGCGCGGCCCCTTTAAGGGATAATAAATAATAAAAAGGCCGTGGGGGGGGGGGGGGGAGAGAGCGCGGCGGGAAGCCACGCCCCCCGCGGGCAGGGACCGTGGGCAAAGTGCGCGCCGCGGGCTGGGGCGCACAGGGGCGCGGGAGGCGGGGCTGGGGGGAGGGGGCCGGGCTTGCCCGCCCCAGTGGAAGGGGACCGAGTCCGGGCGGGGATCCAGGCCCTGGAAGCCCCCCCGCCCCGACTTTGGAGCCCACCCCCCCTGCGTCTTACCGAGCACTGAGGCTGGGGGGGGGGGCCCTCGGGACTGGGAGTTTCGCCCCTGCCCCTTAGGCGGGAGTCGCCGGGCCCTCCCTGGCGGGGCCTCGCTTTGCGCGTGGGTAAAGTGGGGATCGCCGAGCCCGCGGGTGGGTGGACGGAGCGGCCGGGCCCGGGGTGCGGGGCGGGACGGGGCGTGGCGCCGCGGGACCCGGACAGAGGCGGGCGCGTTGGGGGTGGGGGCCGGCGTGTGATCGCCGTGGAGCCCTGCGACCCTCGCCCTACCTAGCCCACCCCCCCCACCACCACCCCACACTGTCACCCCCCACTTCGGGGCACCCAGACTGGGGGTCCGTCCGGGAACGGCGCGCCCCCCTCGCCCGCGTTTCCGAGGGCGGGAAACGGAGCCCCCCCCACCCCCAACCTCCCGAGCTGGACCCAGCTGGGGAGGGGGGCTCGGTCGGACCCCTGGAATCGTGAGGACCCCCCCACCCCAGAAACTTACCAGGTTTCAGTTAAAGGAGCACCTGGACGTCAGGACCACCGATACAATCCCCCGCCCCAACACACCCACAGACACACACACACACACACACACACAGACACACACACACACACACACACACACACTTCTGCAGGGGGTCCATGTGCTGCAATCTCTCGGCGACTTTCCTGCCCCGCCCTCGATTTCGGGGCGGCTCCCTCCTTCTGGGGGAGTTCCAAACCCGGGGTGGGGGGTGCCTGTGTGGGGCCCCGCAACCTACCGCGTTCTCAGACCTGCCCACCCCCCTCGGGGACCTCACCTCCAGCCCCAGGCAGGGTGGGGGAACTACCTGTTAAGGGCAGTCAGGCGGCCCGGAGCCTCCACATGGGGCAGTTCAACCTCATGGCCAGCTCCCTACCTGCCCGGAGGGGGTCGCTTAGAGACCAAGTGACGGGCGGGTGTGTGTGTGTGTGTGGGGGGGAGGAACTGTTAGAGGTCACTATGCCTCAGTTTTGCCCTCTGTAAAACGGATCCGTGTTTCATTCATTCCCTCCTCCAGTCCTTTACTTTTTCCTCTATGTTTTTTTTTGGGGGGGGGGAGGGGCTCCCAGCTATTCTTGGCGATTGGATGGTAGATTTTTTTTTTCAGGGGGGGTGCACTCCTGGTGATGTTCAGAGATTAACCCTGGCATTGCTTAGGCGACCAATAGGGTCGAAGCACTATCCAGCCCCAGGCAGTTGGTTCTATAAGAAAACCAGAGAAAGTGGTCCTGGGGGGGGCAGGGAGAAAGTGGCCACGGAGAAAGTGGCCCTCGGGCGGGGGATGTCAGGAATTTCCTGGGTACCTTCAGGACCCTCCTGGGCTGTGCGGAAGGGCCGGATTGCTGAGGGAAAGGGAACTACGATAGAGACTGTACTAGCTCCAGCCCCTACCACAGCACTTCCTGTTGTTTTGGGGTTTTGTGGGGGCTTTTTGCTTTTATTTTGTTTGGGGGCCATACCTGGTGATGCTCAGGGGTTACTCCTGGCTCTGCATTCAGGGATCACTCCTGGTGGTGCTCAGGGGACCCTATGGGATGCCATAGGAGGTGCTGGAGATCAAACCCAAGTCTGTCATGTGCAAGGAAAGCGCCCTCCCCACAGTACTATCACTCTGGGGGGTCTTATTCTTTTAGCCTGGAGGATGGAAGGCGGAGACTGTGTGACAATAGGTTAGCCTACCTCCCTTCTCTGGTCTCTGCTTTTCCAGTTGGGGAATGGGGGCCAGGAAGATAGCCCAGTGGACTCAGCTCAGACTTTGCATACAGAAGACCCAGGCTTGAACTCCAGTACCACATGGTTCTCTGAGCAAAGAGCGAAAACAGAACAAAATAGGGTCTGGAGCCATAGAACAGCGGGGAGGGCATTTTCCTTGCACGCGGCAGACCCGGGTTCAATTCCCAGCATCCCATTCGGTCCCCCGAACACTGCCAGGAGTGATTCCTGAGTGCAGAGCCAGGAGTAACCCCTGTGCAACGCCAGGTGTGACCCAAAAAGCAAAAAAAAAAAAAAAAATCTAACAGGGATTGAAGCTACAGTACAACAGGAAGGCCCCTGGCTTTGCGCGGGGCCAACTCAGGGTTCGATCCCTGGCAGCCCGATGGTCATCTGAGCCCCACCAGGAGTAATTCCTGAGTGCAGAGCCAGGAGTAACCCCTGTGCATCAGCCCCCCCCCCCAGACAAAAACAAACAAAAAGACTGAGAAATGTGCAAGAGAGGGACTCCAAGCCATCTTGGCTGGCCACTGCGAGAATTTGGACCTCTCCCAGACCAACCTCAATCGTTCTGCCTCTCTGGCCCAATGCTCCCTTCCCCTCCAGCCTCAGGCATCCACTCAGTCCCTCACGTCTGCAATGATTTATCTCCCTGGAGGTGCCTCTGTTTTGAAACAGCTGTGTTTACTTACCTGCTGGGTCCCAGCCCTGAGGCAGGGCTTGGCCCCTAGTAGATTCTCAATAAAACATTCCTGCCCCTCCCCCACCTCCCTTTCCTGCCCGGTTTTCAGAGGCTGCGGGCGGGCGGGTGGGGGGTGGTGGGGGGTTAGGCTACTAAGGCCTTTGCTGCCGACCAAGATTTATTTGATCCGGGGCACCCTGAGCGTGAGCACAGAGCCCGGAGTTGCTCCAAATGTAGCAGGATGAACAGGGGGCTCGTCCCTTGGGAAACCCGACAGCACCACCTTATACCTGTCCCCCAGGACCCTGCAGTCTCGTTGCTCCAATGAGCCACAACTGTGACAATATCCTTAAGTTACCATCTTTCCTTTTATTGTTGTTTGTTTGTTTGTTTTTGCCACACCCAGGGGTACTCAGGGCAGACTCCTGACTCTGGGCTCAGGATCACTCCTGGAAGTGCTCAGGGAACCCTCTAGGGTGCCCGGGATAGAACCTGTGTGCAGGCAAGCACCCTACCTGCTGTACTATCCCTCTGACCCCTCCTATCTTTTGTTTACGGAGGTGTGCAACTTATTTGGGGGGAAGGGGTTGGTGGGAAAAAGGCCACACTTGGTGGTGCGCAGGGACCATTCCTGGCTCTGTGCTCTAGTATCCTCCCCAAGGGACCCTATGTTGGTGCCAGAAATAAACCCGGGATATCCGCGTGCAAGACAAGCGTCTTACCAGCTGTAATCTCAAGCACAGCCTCAAAATCAGAAACCTAGTACCAAATAACTTGAAGTTGTTATCTTTGATGCCAAAGTTCAAACATAATTTTGAATGTTTGGCATTGGAGGGGCCCAGAGGACTGGAGTGATAGTACAGCGGGTAGGGTGTTTGCCTTGTAAGCAGCCGACCCAGATTCAATCCCCAGAATCCCATTTGGTCCCCCAAGCACCGCCAGGAGAATTCCTGAGTGCAGAGCCAGGAGTAACCCCTGAGCATCGCTGGATGTGACCCCAAAAAGCAAAAAATAAAAGAAGGGGCCCGGAGACAAAAGCGCTGAAGATCGCGCGTCTCGGTGGACCACTTAAAAGGTGAGGAACAGGGGCCGGAGAGAGTACAGCGGGTAGGGTGTTTGCCTTGCACGTAGCCAGCCTGGGTTCTATCCCATATGGTCCCCTAAGCACCGCCAGGAGTAAATCCTGAGTGCAGAGCCAGGAGTAACCTCTGAGCATCGCTGGGTGTGACCCAAAAAGCAAAAAAAAAAGAAAAAAGTGAGAAAGTGAGAAACATTCTATTCCGCTAGGGATCTATCTAGGCTGGGCCCAGCTCTCTTGGGTGCTAGGGACCCATCTGGGTACTAAGGACCAGCCGTGTGGCGCGCGCGCCACCTGGTGTACAACTGTGGACCTGCACTAGGGGCGGAGCGTGAGAAGGCCGGGTCACGTGGGGGGCGTGGTCTCAGCGGGGCGCCACCAAAGCTGCTGCTGTTCCAGTGGTAGGCCACTAGGTGACGCTGTCTCTCCTAAAAACCTACATTTGAGGTGTAGGTTCTGTTGTTTTTTGTTTTTTAATTAGTGAAACACCATGAGGTACAGTTGTAGATTTACAATTTTTTGTGCTTGGGTTTCGATTATACAATGATCAGATACCCATCCCTCCACCAGTGCCCATTTTCCACCACCATGGATAATATCCCTCCCACCCCCACCCCCCCCATCCCCCCCTGCCTCTGTGGCAGGGCAATCCCCTGTGTTCTCTCTCTCCTTTTGGGTGTTGTGGTCTGCAAAAGAGGCACTGAGTGGCAAACATGTTCAGTCCATAGTCTACTTTCGACACGCATCTCCCCTCCTGGGAGGATCCTCCAAACACCCTTTATTTGGTCCTCCCTTCTCTATCTGAGCTGCCCTTTCTCTAGAATGCCCGGCTGGGCATTTTTTGGGGGGGGCTTTGGGGCCACACCTGGCTGTGCTCACTAGGTAAAATGCTCCCTGTTCTGTTATTGTGTGTTCAATTGAACATGTATGTCTCCGGAGGATCAGAGTGATAGTACAGCAAGAGGTACTGTCCGCAGCATGGGTTCGATCCGCAGCATCTCATATGATCCCTGAGTACAAAACCAGAAAAAAAACCCAGCATCACTAGGTGTCTCACAAAACCAAAACCAAAAAATGAGCCGATCTTTGAATATATATAGTACGGATATTCCTCATCTATCTGAATTTTAAAAGGTAAAAGGTAAAGGCCCTCCCGTTGATCATCGATTTGCTCGAGCGGGCCCAGTAACGTCTCCATTGGAGACTTTGTTGTTACTGTGTCTGGCATATCGAATACTCTCGGTAGCTTGCCGGGCTCTCCGAGAGGGGCGGAGGAATCGAACTCTGGTGGGCCATGTTGGCCGCTTGTAAAGCGAACACCCTACCGCTGTGCTGAAATCTTGTATTGGTATTTCCCAGCCCCTAGCAGGAATCACTCCTAGTGGGGCGGAAGTTACCCTACAGGGTGTCAGGGTTTGAATCTGGATCGGTTGCGGTTGCATGCAAGGCAAGTGTCTACCCGCTATACTTTCATGCCAGTTCCTGCCTTTGAACATGTTATTCCCTTACATTGTTCCTTTTTGGGGGGAGGGAGCCACATCCGGCCATTCTCAGGACTTATTCCAGGCTCTTTGCTCATGGCTGGCTCCTCACAGGGGTTCAGGGGTATCGAACCTGGGTCTGCTGCATTCAAGGCAAGCGTACTCGCCGCTGTGCTATTGCTCCACCCCAGCAAGTGCCTTTGTGTCCTCCGTCCCCTCCCCTCACCACCACACTTAATCTCTTAAATCCTAGCACACCCAGTGTGATTCATTTCCCCCAATACTGTGTTTGGCCTCCACCACACCCAATAAGAGAGAGAGAACAAAAGGGAATGCCCTGTCACAGAGGCAGGGTGGGATGGGGCGGGGGGATGGGGGGTGGGAGGGATACTGGGACCCGTGGTGGTGGGAAATGGGCACTGGTGGAGGGATGGGTATTTGATCACTGTATAATTGAAACCCAAGCACAAAAATTTGTAAGTCTACAACTGTACCTCGTGGTGTCTCACTAATAAAAAATTAAAAAAAAAAATACTGTGTTTGGCCTGAGGTGACACTGGAGATAAGTCAGACAGGTATTTGGCAGGTAGGTACTGCAGAAGGTCAGAGCTGGGGTGCAGGTAAGCAGGAAGTCCCCAAGAGCAAGACCCCTTTGGGTCAAGCAGTGGAGTGGAGTGTGTGTCCAGCAGGACTGCCTGGAGGAGCAGGGCTTTCTTCCTGGTTCTGAGCTCAGGAATCACTCCTGGCAGTGCTCGGGGGAATCCTCGGGGACTCTGGGGACCGAATTTAGGTCAGCCCTGTGTAAGGCAAGTGCCCTCCCCACTGTACCATCATTTCAGTTCATTATTATTTTTATTATAGCACTGTCCTCCCGTTGTTCATCGATTTGCTCGAGCAGGCCCAGTAACATCTCCATTGTGACACTTGTTACTCTGTTTGGCATATCAAATATGTCATGGGTAGCTTGCCAGGCTCTGCCGTGCAGGCGAGATACTCTTGGTAGCTTGCTGGGCTCTTCAAAATGGGTGGAAGAATCAAACCCAGCTTGGCTGGTCTGGCTGCACACAAGGCAAATGCCTTATTATTATTATTAATTATTACTTTTTGGGTCACACCCGGCAATGCTCAGGGGTTACTCCTGGCTCAGCACTCAGGAATTACTCCTAGCAGTGCTCAGGGGACCATATGGGATGCTGGGAATTGAACCTGGGTTTGATGCATACATGCAAGGCAAATGCCTTACCTGCTGTGTTATCTCTCCAGCCCTTATTATTACTATTATTATTATTATTATTATAGGGCTGGGGCTGCAGTGATAGCACAGCAGTAGGGCGTTTGCCTTGCACGCAGCCAACATGGCCCACCTGAGTTCGATTCCTCCGCCCCTCTCGGAGAGCCCGGCAAGCTACCGAGAGTCTCTCGCCCGCACAGCAGAGCCTGGCAAGCTCCCCATGATGTATTCGATATGCCAAACACAGCAACAACAAATCTCACGATGGAGATGTTACTGGGCCTGCTCGAGCAAATCGATGAATAATAGGAGGACCGTGACCATGACCGTGATTATAGGGCTGGAGCGATAACACAGCAATAGGGCGTTTGGCTTGCACGTGGCTGGCTGGGCCAACCCGGATTCAATTCCTCTGCCCCTCTTGGAGAGCCCGGCAAGCTACCGAGAGTATCTCGCCCTCATGGCAAAGCCTGGCAAGCTACCCGTGACATATTCAATATGCCAAACACAGTAACAACAAGTCTTACAATGTGCTATATACAGTGCTGTTATTATTATTATTACTTGTGTGTGAAGCAAGATAGAGTTTTTCTTTGTTTTGGGGCAAAGCAAGATAGTTTTTATTGAACAAAATAAACTTAGGAGAGCTGAAAGGGAGAGAAAGGTGTTCAAGAGAACATGCACCTCTCCAGAGTGGAAAAAACCCCTAGGATCACGTTTTGTTGGTTTTTTTGTTTGTTTGTTTGTTTGTTTGCTTTTTTGGGTCACACCAGGAGATGCACAGGGATTACTCCCAGCTCTGCACTCAGGAATCACTCCTGACGGTGCTCAGGGGACCATATGGGATGCTGGGAATCGAACCTGGGTCGGCTGCATGCAAGGCAAACGCCCTCCCCACTGTGCTATTGCTCCAGCCCCAGGATCACGTTTTGATAGCTGTAAGAAAGGGCGGACCTTACAGTCCACCGCCAGGCAGCAAGAGACAACCATTTCTAGTGCCTTCTGGAATGTTCCAGAAAGGACCAGACTCCACAACCCAATGTCAGGGGACAGGCAGGGTAAAAACCGTCCTCAGGAAGGAAAGCAAAAGACAGCACAAGGGGACAGGGAACCACGTCTGGTGACCAAAAGGGACAAAGCTAAAGAGATCAGCAGGAGTTGATTGAGGGGTCGGGGGTGTCCCCAATCCTACAGGGTCTCAATTTTCCTTCCCTGGGGGGTAGCAGGCTCAGAGAGGGTCTGCAGGCTTTCTCTGCACACACAGCCCGCGGTGCCCCGTGCCCGGGCTCCAGCAACGGCCAAACGGTGCATCTCCGCGCGGGGGGCTGCGGGGTCGGAGGCGCGAAGGCGTCGCGGGGCGCAGGGGCAGACGCGGCGCAGGGCCCGGCGGAAGTTGGCACCCAGGAAGGCGTAGAGCAGCGGGTTGAGCGCCGAGTTGCTGTAGGACATGCAATGCGCCCAGATCTTGAGGGCATAAGCCGAGTAGCTGCGCGGGTGCCAGGCGCCCGCGGGGCCCAGCGCCTGCATCACCAGGAACAGCTGGATCGGGCCCCAGCAGGCGGCGAAGAGCAGCACCACCGCCGCCACCAGCCGGGAGACCTTGGCGCGCACCAAGCCGGCACGCTCGGCCAGCAGCTGCCCCTGGGGGACGAAGAGGGGGCTAGAAGCAGACGCTAAGAGCCAGCCGGAGGCGACCACCCCCCGCCTCTGATCCCCGTTTTTTTCTCTCTTTTTTTCTTTTTGCTTTTTGGGTCACACCCGGCAATGCACAGGGGTTACTCCTGGCTCTGCACTCAGGAATTACCCCTGGCGATGCTTGGGGACCATGTGGGATGCTGGGACCCGTTCCCGGGTCGGCCGCGTGCAAGGCAAACGCCCTCCCCGCTGTGCTATCATCACTCCAAGCCCCTCCGATCCCCGTTTTGTGCAGCTGCACCCACAGCCTCCACCAACACCCCCACCCCTACCCCTCCAGGGCGCGCGACCCATTTCCAGGCGCGCACCTGCAGGGCGCTGTCGCCAGGCGCGGGGCGCGCGGCGGCGCGGCCCAGGTGGCGCAGCATCGCGCCGTAGCAGACGCAGGTGGCGGCCAGCGGCAGCAGGTAGAGCGCCAGCAGGTTGTAGGCGGCAAAGGCGCGCTCCAGGGCGCGGCTGGGGAAGACCTCGCTGCAGTAGGTGAGCGGTCCGGAAGACAGACGGTGCAGGGCGAGCACCGGCGCAGACAGGGCCGCCGAGCCTGCCCCACACGCCGGGCTGAACACGTCGGCCGGGGTGGGTGGAGGGGCGCAGGGGTGCGGGGTGCTGGGTCTTGCAAGGTCCCTCCTGGGGCAGCGTGCCTTGAGCGCCCCCTGGGGGCCGTGCGCTCCAGGTAGGTGGTACTCAGTATCCCCGTTTCCCAGATGCTCTAAGCCCAAAGGTGTCCCCCCACCGCGCCAAGGAAAGGATGATCCCTCTACCCATACCCCCCACCCTCAAAGAAAAAACAACCCTGCTCAGTACTCACCCACCCAGATGCCGAGACTGACAGAGAGAGCCAGGCGGGGTGTGCGGCGGTGCAGGGCGCGCAGAGGGAACACGGTCACGTACCAGCGGTCCACGCTCATGGCGGTCAAGGTGGCACACGTGGCCTGCACGGAGACCTGGAAGGGGCGTGGGGCTCCCCGCGAGGCCAGGGACCTGCCCTGTCCGTGCCCACCCTGAGGGGGGTGTCCCCGCACTGCATCCACCCGGGGAGGGTCTCCAGGGACCAAAATGAAGAGGCAGGATGAGAGCGGAAACCCAGAATGGTTAAGGAGAGTGAGGAGTCCCAGGAAAAGAGAAACCATCCTCGGAACACGGAGGGCGCAGGAAAGAAGTCCTAGGATGCAGACCACTCGCCCTGTGACTATCTCCCCAAATTTCCCCCGGACCTGAACCTGATTCCCATTTGTCCCCCAACTTTATCCTTGCCCTGCACCCCGCCAATCCCAGGCACCTTCCACTGGTCCCCAACGCGCACCCTCTCACCCAGGGTCCGCATGACGCCTGACCTCTGCCTTTGGTGCAACTGACCCTGCCACATCAAGAGTCCAGCCCCGCGTAGATCTTCCCGCGCAGACGCCATTCCCCTAGAGCGCGCCCACGTCTAGGGCGGGCACCCGTTCTGCCCGCGCCCCATCCAGGGTCTACCGCATCCTCTGCAAGCCCAGATTCTGGCCTGGTCTTCGGCCCTCAGGGCCCGCATATAGCTTTTGGTCCCAGACCTCCCCCCTTATTGATCCGGGACCCTCTTAGACCCGCCCATAACCAAGACCCGCCCACAGCGCGCTAAACCTAGTCCCAGGAGCCCCTGGCTCTGCTCTGCTCCAATACGCATCGCCCCTAAACCCTCCTCGGTGCTCCACTGCGGATTCCCCCCATAAACATCCTACGACCTCATCCCCTTCTTCTCACCCTAAGGTCCTGCCCTCTTGCGCTCAGACTCAGTCCAGACCAGGACTCCCCTTAGTTCCGGTCTCTCTTGTAATGCTGTCCCTGACTCTGCCCCCAGCACAGACCCCACCTTCCCAGCCCAGGTTCCTCTCCGGCCCAACCCCGCCCTACCCAGCCTAGGCCCTGCCCAAGTCCAGGCCCCGCCCCACCCACCCAGGCCCCGCCCCACCCGCCCCAGGCCCCGCCCCACTCAGTCTAGGCCACGCCCCAGCCCAGGCCCCACCTCCCCAGTCTAGGCCCTGCCCCAGCACAGGCCTCGCCTCCTCTGCCCAGGCCCCGCCCCAGCTCAGCCTAGGCCCCGCCCCAGCCCAGACCCCACCTCCCCAGCCCAGGCCCCGCCCCAGCCCAGCCTAGGCCCCGCCCCAGCACAGGCTTCACCTCCCCTGCCCAGGCCCCGCCCCAGCACAGGCCTCGCCTCCTCTGCCCAGGCTCGCCCCAGCTTAGCCTAGGCCCCGCCCCAGCCCAGGCCCCACCTCCCCAGCGCAGGCCCCGCCCCAGCCCAGCCTAGGCCCCTCCCCAGCCCAGGCCCCACCTCCCCAGCCCAGGCCCCGCCCCAGTCCAGCCTAGGCCCCGCCCCAGCACGGGTCTCTCCTCCTCTACCCAGGCCCCGCCCCAGCTCAGCCTAGGCCCCGCCCCAGCCCAGGCCCCTCCCCAGCCCAGGTTCCACCGTCCCAGCTCAGGCCCGCCCCACCCAGCCTAGGCCCCACCCCACCCAGCCTAGGTCCCACCCCACCCGCCCCCAGGCCCCGCCCCACCCAGCCTAGACCCCACCCCCCAGCCCAGGCCCCGCCCCAGCCCAGACCCCACCTCCCCAGCCCAGGTTCCTCCCTAGCCCAGCCCAGGCCCCGCCCCAGCCAGCTCAGGCCCCGCCCTAGCCCAGGCCCCGCCCACACACCTGCTGGATGTAGTTGACGAATTTGCACATGAAGTCGCCCAGCACCCAGGCAGGAAGCAAGTACAGCAGCGCCGTAAAGGGCACACAACACAGAAGGAACATCACGTCTGTGGCCGCCAGGTTGGCTGTAGGGGTGAGGAACGCACGGGGGCGCTGGGGAGGTGCTGGGCATGGGCGCAGGTGCTCAGGATTCTCAGCGGCCAAAGCTCACCAACCCCGGCGTCCTTCCCCTTAGCCCGAGTAAGACGCATCCCGGAGAAGTTCCCCCTACATCACGGAGCAGGAAAGTTGGGGCGCCTACTGGGCTCTCCTTGTGCATTTCAAAACTCCTATCCCGGGCATCAGAGACCGTCAAAGACCTCCACCCCTTTGAGCCCCTTTTTTCTCACCTACACTCGTCCACCACCCAGAAAAAGCTGGGCCAGAGCGATAGGACAGCGGGGGTTGGGGGGCCTTGCTTTGAACCCAGCCAACCTGAGTTCAATCCCTGATACCCCATAAGGTCCCCAATACACTGCCAGGAGTGATGCCTGAGCACAGAGTCAGGAGCAAGTCCTGAGCACTGCCGGATGTGGCTCTTCCACAAAAACAAGAAAAAAAACAAAGGCCACTTGGCGCTGGCTGGGACATCCCACTGCTCAAATATTGGAACTGAGCCTCTGTGGCAAAGGTCCCAAGGTCAGGGAGACCTCCCCCCATTCCTCTTTTTTCATCAGACATCCTGTTGCTTTAACGTCCATTGGATATCTTCCTGGGGGGTGAGGAGGGTCTCCATGCACCTACTCCCCAATTTCCCTTTGATCCTCTCCTGCCTTCAAGAAATGCACCAGGGGCTGGAGTGGCAGCACAGCGGGTAAGGCGTTTGCCTTGCATGCAGCCAACATGGCCCACACAGGTTCGATTCCCAGCACCCCATATGGTCCCCTGAGCACCGCCAGGATCATTTCCTGAGTGCATGAGCCAGGAGTAACCCCTGAGCATCGCCGGGTGTGACCCAAAAAGCAAAAAAAGAAAAAAAAAAGAAAAAAGAAAGAAATGCACCAATCAGGGGCTGGAGCAATAGTATCACAGGAGGTAGGGCGTTTGCCTTGTTCGCGGCTGACCAGGGTTCGATTCCCAGCATCCCATATGGTCCCCCGAACACCACCAGGGGTGATTCCTGAATGCAGAGCCAGGAGTCAGCCTTGAGCATCGCCGAGTGTGACCCAAAAAGCCAAAAAAAAAAAAAAAGCTTCAATCAGAGTTAGTGAGCTCCAGTCTGAGGAAGGCCCAGAGAGAGAGACCCCTCCTGCTGCAGACGGGGGTCAGTGGAACCCCTTTGCCCCTACTCACCGATATAAAAGTTGGTGACCGTGCGCATCTGCTTCTGGCGACAAATGACCAGAATGACCAACGAATTCCCTGTCAATCCCACGATCATCAGCGCTGCGAAGAACAGGGGGACCAGCCAGGCATCCAGCGACCGCGGCACGGGGCCCGGGCCCACGGAGGCATTGGTTAGCGCCCCCCAGGACGCGTTAAGCCCAGACGTGGCCAGAGCACTCATGATTTCCAGGCTCTCTTCCTCCCAGCCGCCCTCCAGGATTCCCATGGTCCCTCTTCACAGGCGCTGTGTCCCTCTGCTGAAGGCACTGCACTGGCTGTAGCATTTATACCCCTGTGCGTCTACACCCCCCCCCTCACGCTCCCTCCCCTGCAGCTCCAGTTCCAGCTTCATCCATTTGCTGCACCTCCAGAGCCACTTTGTAATCCTCCCTTCCTCCTGCGAGGTCAGCGGGGTGTGTGTGTGTGTGTGGGGGGGGGTGCTGCAGAGTGAGGAGGGGCTGCGGGCACAGCAGGGGAAGGGCAGGTGGCCCTTAAGAAAGGCTGTGGAAGGGCTGGAGCAGTAGCACAGCGGGTAGGGCATTTGCCTTGCACGCAGCCGACCTGGGTTCGATTCCCAGCATCCCATAGGGTCCCCTGAGCCCTGCCAGGGGTGATTCCTGAGTGCAAGAGCCAGGAGTAACCTTTGTGCATCGCCCACAGCAGGTAGGGCATTTGCCTGGCATGCGGCCGACCTGGGTTTGAGATTCCCAGCATACCATATGGACCCCCAAGCACCACTGTCACTGTCACTGTCCTCGCGTTGTTCATCAATTTGCTCGAGCGGGCCAGTAACGTCTCCATTGTGAGACTTGTTGTCACTGTGTTTGGCGAATACGTCACAGGTAGCTTGTCAGGCTTTGCCGTGTGGGCGAGATACTCTCGGTAGCTTGCCGGGCTCTCGGAGAGGGGCGGAAGAATCAAACCCGGGTCGGCTGCATGCAAGGCAAACGCCCTACACGCTGTGCTATCGCTCCAGCAAACGCCCTACACGCTGTGCTATCGCTCCATCAAGCACCACGAGGGGTAATTCCTGAGTGCAGAGCCAGGAGTAACCCCTGTGCATTGCCGGGTGTGACCCAAAAAGAAAAAAAAAAAAGAAGAAAGGCTGTGAAAGTAATCAGGGAATAGACAGATTATGGGTAGATGCAATAGTCCAGCCTGGAAAACGCTTGCCTTGCATGCAATTCAGCTGGGTTTGGTCTATGAGTGAACCCAGGGTAAGCCCTGAAAACATTGGGTATGGTCCAAAAGGAATTCCAGGGGAACAGACACGAGGGCTAGAACAACAGTACAAAGGGTAAGACGCCAGGGCCAGAGCGATAGCACAGCGGGTAGGGCGTTTGCTTTGCACGCGGCTGACCTGAGTTAAATCCCTGGGATCCTATAAGGTCCTCCAAGCCAGGAGTGATTCCTGAGTGCAGAGCCAGGAGTAATCCCCCAACATCACTGGGTGTGACCCCAAGAAGAAAAAAAAAAACAAAGCGTAAGGCTCTTCTTGCCTTGCAGATCCGGGTTCACTACCTGGCATCCTATACAGTCTCTGATCACTGCCAGGAGGATTCCTGAGTGCAGAGCCAGGAAGAACTCATGTCCCCCCCCCCAAAAAAAATAACAGACACTGGGACTGGGAGAGGCGGGATGAGAGCAGACCAACCAGGACAAAAGGACAAAAGGAAGGGCTCCGTAGAAGCAGTGACCTTGGAGGAGAGGGCTGGACATAGAGCTGGAGCATTAATTTTTTTTTTCTTTTTTGGGTCACACCCAGCAATGCTCAGGGGTTACTCCTGGCTCGGCACTCAGAAATTACTCTGGCAATGCTCAGAGGACCATATGGGATGCTGGGGGCTGGGTTTGCCGTGTGCAAAGGAGACACCCTTCCCTCTGTTCTATGGTTCTGGCCCTGTGCCAGGAGTAAGTCCTGAGCACAGCTGGGCGTGCCCCCCCCACCACTGATACATAAATAAATAAACACCACCCAGTGTGGGTGGGTGTACCCAGACTGTACAGAGGTCAACGTGCTTGTCTTGCATATTTATTACTCCAGTTCAATCTCAACACTGCAGAAGGATTGTTAAGGCCCTTCAGGAGTAACTCCTGAGCACAATTTGGACCAGCCCCCGAGCACCTCTGGGTGTGTCGCAGGAAAAAATACAAAAGAAGCAACGATAGGGCATCCGGGAGGCCACTTGCCTGGCTTGTGGCCGACCCAGGTTCGATCTGCAGCACCCCATAGGGTTGTGCTCTGTAAGCATTGCTAGGAGTGATCCCTGAGCACAGAGCCAGGAGTAACCCCTGAGCACTGCCAGGGATCGCCCCCAAACAAATAAACAAGAAGAAGCAATGACCTTGACTTGTAGTGACAAGTGGCCAGGGCACCCAGAAGGGTGGGTGCAGCCAACAGAAGGCTGGGTGTCCCCAAACTCTGGGGACATGAAGCTTCATATCATGAAGCATCATGTGAGGAACCCTAAGAGCTGGTGATTGGAGAATACCAATAATTTTTCAAATATTTCACCCCGCTGGAGCTCCATTTGGGGTGAAGAACTTTAGGGCACTTTTCGTTGGTCTTTTTTTTTTCTTTTTTTTGGGGGGGGGTGACACCCGGTGATGCATAGGTGTTACTCCTGGCTCTGGACTCAGGAATTACTCCTGGCGCTGCTCAGGGGACCATATGGGATGCTGGGAATCGAACCTGGGTTGGCTGCGTGCAAGGCAAACGCCCTACCCGCTGTGCGATTGCTCCGGCCCCTGGTCTTGTTGGTTTTGAGTCACACCAAGTGGTAGCAGGGCTGGGAGACCCTGTGGGATGCTGGGGATGGAACCTGACTTGACCGTGTGCAAGGCCAGTGCCCTTCCTACTGTCCTATTGCTCTGGTCTTTATTTTGGGGGCCAGAGGCAATTTTGCCTTTTTATGTTTTGTTTGCTCGAGCGGGCCCAGTAACGTCTCCATTGGAGACTTTGTTGTTACTGTGTCTGGCATATCGGATACTCTCGGTAGCTTGCCGGGCTCTCCGAGAGGGGCGGAGGAATCGAACTCGGGTCGGCCATGTTGGCCGCTTGTAAGGCGAACCGGCAAGCTACCGAGAGTATTCGATATGCCAGACACAGTAACAACAAAGTCTCCAATGGAGACGTTACTGGGCCCGCTCGAGCAAAATCGACGATCAACGGGAGGGCCTTTACCTTTTATGTTTTGTTTGGGCTGGAGCGATAGCACAGCGGTAGGGCGTTTGCCTTGCATGCAGCCAGCTGGGCTCGATTCCTCTGTCCCTCTCGGAGAGCCCGGCAAGCTACCGAGAGTATCTCGCCCGCACGGCAAAGCCTGGCAAGCTCCCCGTGACGTATTCGATATGCCAAACACAGTAACAGCAAGTCTCAAAAAAATGGAGACGTTACTGGGCCTGCTCGAGCAAATCGATGAACAACGGGAAGGCAGTGTTTGTTTGCTTTTGTTTTGTGTTTTGTTCGGGGCAAAACAAAAATGTGGTGCCTGCAATCGAACCTGGCTTTGGTCAGGCATGTACAAGGCAGGAGCCTTACCCACTGCACCATCTCTCTGGCCCTGAGACACGAATATGGATCCTGGCCCAGAAGTCAGGTTAGAGTGTGTTGTGAGTGTGTTGTGATGCTGCCCCAGTGGTGCTCAGGGTTGACTCCTGGCTCTGTGGTTGGTCAGGGATCATACCTGGAAGGGCTCCGGGACTCCTATGAAGTGAATCACACCTGAGTCAGCTAGGTGCAAAGCCAGCGCCCTACCCACTGTACTATCTCTCTGGCCCTCACTCAATTCCTCTGAGTTTTTGTGTTTTGCTTTTTTTTTTTTTTTTTTTATTTATTTATTGAATCACTGTGGGAAAGGTTACAAAGCTTTCAGGTTTATGTCTCAGTCATGCAAATATCAAACACATTTCCCTTTACCAATACTTATTTTTTACCATGAAGAACCCCAATAAAACCCCACCCCCCACCCCTCCCCGTCCCTGTGAGGCAGATGAGTTCTAGTTAACACTCTATCTGCTTTGATTAGATTCATTGTTTCAATAAAAGATTCACCACTATTATTTAGAGTTTACCCCCCCCCAAATCAGACATGCTGAAAAAGCATTGTGAAGTGATTTGCTTTCTACGGCTGGGTTCAAGAATTAAATGTTGGTTTTGGATTTCTGCTCTTTTACCTATTGACCCTGGAAGTATTTCTACTGAAAGTCAGATAGTTAAGAAATTGGTTTCTGTGTTCTGGAGTCCTGGCCGTGCTGGAGAGCCGCTCGCGGGGGGCAACCGGTGGCCTCGGTAGGGCGTGAAGGGCGGACCGAAACGCCCCCCTTCCCATGAGGTTTTAGTCGCCCCCACACTCCCGGCTCATACCTGCTGTCCACAAGGCTCCCATGTGGCCGCCATCTTTTTTTTTTTGCTTTTGCTTTTTTTGGGTCATACCCAGCCATGCTCAGGGGTTCCTCCTAGCTCTGCACTCAGGAATTACTCCTGGTGGAGCTTGGGGCACCTTATAGGATGCCAGGGATCAAACCCCCGGGTCAGCTGCAGGCAAGGCAAACGCCCTCCACACTGTACTATTGCCCGGGTCCTTGTTTTTTTGGTCCTGTTTACTTGCTTTGTGACTGAATCATATCCCCCAGTTCCCTTTTTCTTGTAGACTGAGGGTGGTGTTTCCTCTCTATACTTCTCTTCTTTTTTTTTTTTTTTGTTTTTGTTTTGGGAACCACACCTGGCTCTGCGCTCAGGAATCACTTCTAGCAGTGCTCAGGGCACCCTATGGGATGCTGGGGATTGAACCAGGGTTGGCCACATGCAAGGCAAGTGCCCTCCCTGCTGTGCTATGGCTTGGGACCCCAGAGGGGATCTCCATGTCCCTCCCCAAGCCCCTCCCACTATTCTTAGGCCCCAGTCCCTTTGCCCCTCATCTCGGCGTACTGACTTTTTTGCCAGACGCCCCTCCCCAGAGGTGCCCCCTCCCCACTTTCTCTTAGAGGGGATGTCCTGTCTTGGTCACTGCTGGGATCCCAGAGAGTTCAGCATCAGGGGCGGCTGACACGCCATGTCCTTTAGAAGCACTGAAACGAGAGCACTGTAGCACGGTCCTCCTGTTGTTCATCAGTTTGCTCGAGAGGGCCCAGTAACGTCTCCATTTTTTTGAAACTTGCTGTTACTGTGTTTGGCATATCGAATATGCCAAATTCTCTCGGGGAGCTTGCCAGGCTCTGCCGTGCGGGGCGGGATACTTTTGGGGAGCTTTCCAGGCTTTCCGAGAGGCGCGGAGGAATTGAACCCAGGTAGGCCAGGCAGGTCGCATGCAAGGCAAACGCCCAACCGCTGTGCTATGGCTCCAGCCCTTTCGGAAAGAAATGAAAATGAGGGGCCGACCGCAGGTGGGGGACATGGATCTTGCATGCAGCCAACCGGGGTTCGATCCCCGGCACCCCATAGGATCCCCACGAAAACAAACAAAAAAAATGCAAAAGCCCAGGGAGTGGGAGTTGACGCTGCCCTGTGTTACAGAGGGTAAACTGAGGCACGGAACTGGGTGGGGGGGGGCGCAGGGGCACATCCCTCCTCCTCCTCCTGCTTCGGGCCAGACCCCGGTTCTCATCTCGGCCTCCCAGCCCTTCCCCCAGCTACCTGCACTCTAGAGAACGGGTTTGGGGGGGATTTCCTCCTAGGCGGCCTCAGTTTACCCGTGTGGACGTCCCGCCCCCCTCTACCCCGGTCCACCCCCCCCCATCCCCGCCTCCGTCTGGTCCGTCCGAGCGTCCGGCCCCCGAATGAATGAACGACGGGCCCCTCGCGGCTCTCCGCGCGCGCCCCCCGGCAGCCTCAGTTTCCCCGCCGGCCCGCGGCGCGCGGGAGGACGTGGCCGCCCCGCCCGCCCCGAGGCTCCGCCCCGCTCCGCCCCGCTCCGCCCCGCTCCGCCCCCGGCGCCCGTCACTTCCTTCCCGGCCCGAGCAGGCCCTGCCGGGCGGCGGCGGCCACTACGGCCACTACGGCGGCGTCCGAGGCATGGTCGCGCTGGAGACGCCGGAGGGCTGCTCGCAGGAGGCGGCGCCGGCGGCGGCGGGGGGCGCCGCGGGCGGGCGAAGGACGCTGTGAGCGCGGGCGGGGCGCGCCGGGGCGGGGGGTCCTAGCCCTGCACCCCTGCCCTGCACCCCTGCGAGCGACCCCAGGCTCGCCCCGCCCCCTTGGCTCAGGGACCCCCCCCCCAATCCAGGCCCCGGTAAGGTGGGCGGGGGGCGGGGGGCGGGTCGTGTCCAGCCGGCGGACCCAGGTATTTGCCGGGGGCGGCAGGGGACCCCCCACCCCACCCCTGGCTGGCGTTCTGTGCCCGCTCGGGGGCCCTGAAGTGCTGGGGTTCAGCTTTTGACCCCCCCCGGGGTGGGTCGGGGGGCGTCCCTGGCCCCTTTACGAAGTCCGCGGCCCCCCAAACCGGGCTGCTGGGGTTCCGATCCCCAACTGGGGGCGGGGGTCGCCCCTACCAGCTGCCACCTGGTGCGGGTGGGTGGTCAGCCCCCCGCGGCCCCCCCGGGTGGACAGGGAGGCCGCCTGGATTTTCTGAAACGGGCGCTTCAGCACCCGGGGGTGGGGGGGTGGGACCGGCGCGCCCCGGAGGCGACCCTCCCCCCATATGGTAGGACTGACCCGGAACCGTCGGAACCACCGCAGGACCCCCCCCCCCCTCCCGTGACCCTGCCTGGTGGGTGGGTACAGCTTTAGTACAGGCAGGACCTGGGAAGACTTTCCGCTTCCTCCTGCCTCAGTTTCCCTATCTGCAAAATGAGTAACAGCTCTTTGGGGGCGAGGGGGAGACCAGGGCTAGGGTGGCCCAAGTCCTTCGTTCTGGGCTTCTCGTCCTCTGAATATCTTGACTGGGAGCGGTTTTGCCTCTCCCGAGTGTTGTGTGTATTTTAGTACCCGGAGAGAGAGTATAGTGGGTGGGTGGGTGGGGGCTTCTTTTGCTCATGCTGGTACCTGGCACCCCACCAGGGCCCGGGAGCTTGCCAGGAGTGATCCCTGAGTGCAGAGCCAGGAGTGATCCCTGAGCACAGCCAGGTGTGACCCCCCCAAAAAAACAAAACAAAAACAAAAACAAAAACAGAAAACCAAAAACCAACCCTTCGCTTCCCTTTCTCCACCTGGGTAGAGATGGGCGTTGGGACTTGATCCTGGAACCCAGGAAGTGGCTTTCACCTCCCAGGGAGGGTATTTACCTGCCTGGAGGGTCCATTGGGGAAATCCGGGGTGCCAGGAACCTCCCCCTGGGCCCCACCCCACCTCCCCTGAGTCACTTCTGTTTTTTTTTTTTTTTTTTTTTGCTTTTTGGGTCACACCCGGTGATGCACAGGGGTTACTCTTGTTCATGCATGCACTCAGGGGTTACTCCTGGCGGTGCTCGGGGGACCCTATGGGATGCTGGGAATCGAACCCGGGTTAGCCAGCCGGGTCAAAGGCAAACCCCCTCCCTGCTGTGCTATTGCTCCAGCCCCACTTCCGGTTTCTTTGTTTGTTTGAGGGCCATACCTGGCGATGCTCAGGGCTGACTCCTGGCCCTGCACTCAGGGGTCACTCCTGGGGGTGCTCAGGGGGCCCTAGGGGGTACCGGGCATCGAACCCCAGTTGGCCGCCTGTAAGGCTAATGCCGCTGCCTCATCTCACCACCCCTGAGTTGCTTCTGTTTTGACCCTTTTGGTTTCCGGCTGGGGAAGGCCCTTCCTCACTCCTCGCTGGGGCGGGGCGCACCCCTTACCTGCCCTGGCTTATTGACTCCCATGGGTGCTGCTGTGACGGGCATGACCTCGGGAGGCCAAGGGGTCCCTAGAGGCCACCCAGACCCCACCGGGCCCCTTAGTTTCCCCATATGTCAAGCAGAGCTTTTTCAACCCAGGGCCACAGGTGGGAACTGAATTGAGGTGATAGCAGAACCTGTAGCCCGGGAGGGAGCCCCAAATTAGGGATCAGCTGCTGGGGACCCATCTGGGCCCTGCGGTTTCTAGAACCTAACACACACACACACACGTGCCCACACGCCCACACACACACACACACACACACACACACACAGGTGTTTTGGGAGTCTAAACAAGTATAGTGAGAAACAGGAAGAAAATGGGGTGATCAGGTTCCTGAGGAGGGCGGGGTGATGCCAGCAGTGTTGGGAAAGGGAAGTGTGAGCAGAGGAACAGGAAGGAGCCAGGTTGCTGGGGGCACATAGGCTGTGCAAAGGCCCTGGGGTAGGGGTCAGAGAGACAGCCCAGGGAGAAAAGCACCCTTCTGGAGTTCACCCTGGCTCACCTTAGGATCCCTTGAGCCCCTCCAGGAGTGACCCCTGAGTGCAGAGCCAAGAGTGAGCCACAGCACAGCTGGCTGTGGGCCTGACAGCGACCCCCGCCCCACTCCCACCCCCCAGTGCTAAAGGCAGCTGAATGCCTCCGGGGGTGAGCTTCTGTCCCCTGTGTCTGCAGCTATATTTGGGTTCTGTTTTGGTTTGGGGACCTCCCTCCCCAGGGCTGTGCCCTCCTGAGCCAGGCCCACCCAGCCCCGCCCTCGTGTTTGGGTCTGTGTATCTCCTATCCGCTGTTTCCCACCCTCATTCCAGTCACGTGGGGGCCCACCTCTGTGGGGAGGATGGGGTGTGTGAGGTGGGGGCTGTCTGCTCTGTTGCTTTGTTTTGTACACCCAGGGATGCTCCTGGCTGACCCCTGGCTTTGTGCTCAGGAGAGCAGGGCTTTGGGAGGGGTGGGGGGCATAGGTGGTGGGGGGCTGCAGCCTGGATTCAGGTGCAAGGCCGACACCCTACCTGCTGTCCTGTCGCTCTGGCTGCCATGCCTGAGATAGGACAAGAAGATAAAGTCTTATGGCCTGCTGGAATCCTGCAGGAGAGTGTCAGACCTCCTGGATCTTTTGTTTTTGTTTTTAATTTTTATTTTTTCTGTTTGGGTCACACCTGGTGATGCACTCAGGGGTTACTCCTGGCAGTGCTCAGGGGACCAAATGGGGATGCTGGGATTCGAACCTGGGTCAGCCGCATGCAAGGCAAACGCCCTCCCCTCTGTGCTATGGCTCCAGTCCCTGCTTTTTTGTTTTGTTTTTGGGTCACACCCGGCGATGCACAGGGGTTATTCCTGGCTCTGCACTCAGGACTTACTCCTGGCGGTGCTCAGGGGACCCTATGGGATGCTGGGAATCGAACCCGGGTCGGCCGCGTGCAAGGCAAACGCCCTACCCGCTGTGCTATCGCTCTAGTCCCTGCTTTTTTGTTTTGTTTTTGCCTTTTGGGTCACACCCGGCGATGCACAGGGGTTACTCCTGGCTCTGCACTCAGGACTTACTCCTGGCGGTGCTCAGGGGACCCTATGGGATGCTGGGAATCGAACCCGGGTCGGCCGCGTGCAAGGCAAACTCCCTACCCGCTGTGCTATCGCTCCAGCCTCTGCTTTGCTTTTTAGTTTTGGGGCCACATCCTCCGGAGCTCAGGGCTTACTCCTGGCTCTGCATTCAGGGATCACTCCTGGTGGGCTCTGAGGACCCTCTGGGATGCCGGGGGTCGAACCCGGCTCAACTGTATGCCAGACAAACATCCACCCTGCTGGACTATCGCTCCAGCCCCTCAGCGCGCATTTGGTGCTGGAGCCCAGCATGGTGGTGGCTTCCGGGGTGCCTGTGTGACCTGCTCTGTGTCCCCATCTAGAGAAGGTCACCCTCCCCAGGCCCTGGAGCATCTTGGGTGCCTGGGACCCCTGGGGTGGGGCCGCAGACAGCTGGGAGGGTCTGGCGGATCCTTTCCATTCAGGGGGTTCAAGTTCCCCCTTGCTCTCTAGGTGAAAAGGGGGGGCCTGTCTCTGGAGGACTCCGGCTTTCGGGGAGCCCCACCCCTCCTGGGCAGTCCCCCCTCCCCCCTGCCCCGGATGTGGCCTCTGTTATCAGTTGCCACCAGGCTGGCATCCTGAACTCCGTCCAGCTGATGTGGATGATGGGGTGTCTCCGGGGTGACTCGGGGGTGCTCACTTGATTGGCTCTTCCCTCCCCCACCTGCCCTCTTCTTGCTTGTGGGATCTGGGCGGACCTGGGAACATCTCCACATTCAAGTGTTTTTTGTTTTTTGGGTTTTTTTTTTTTTTGCTTTTTGGGTCACACCCAGCGTTGCACAGGGATTACTCCTGGCTCATGTGCTCAGGAATTACTCCTGGCGGTGCTCAGGGACCATGTGGGATGCTGGGGATCGAACCCGGGTCGGCCGTGTGTAAGGCAAACGTCCTTACCCGTTGTGCTATCGCTCCAGCCCCTCCACGTTCAAGTGTGAGGGTGAAGGGGTGAGTTCCCCGTCCCAGGAGGCAGCACCAACACGCTGAGAGCAGGCTCAGCCACGGGGAGCGTTTGTTCCAGCCCCTCGTGGCTGGAGTGCCCCTTCCCACGCCTGGCTGGGCGTGAACCGTGACCCTCCCCAGGCCCCACAGGGAAGGATTCACTCAGCGCTGCGTTGGTGGGGGACCCGATGCCTGTAGTTCCCCTGCTACTGGACATTTGTACAGACCTGAGTTTTGGGTCCTTTTGCTGATCACCAGGGCCCTGCGGGGGGAGAGGTGGTCTGCTGGAGCTGGGTGGACTGGTCCACACCCCCCTGCATGGTTCCTGCCACTTAGGATAGCGTTTATTCCCCGTTTATTTTTCCTTTTTTTCTTTTTTTCCCTTTTTGGGTCACACCCAGCAATGCTCAGGGGTCTTTTTTTTTTTTTTTTTTTTTTTTTTGGTTTTTGAGTCACACTGGCGTTGGACAGGGGTTCCTCCTGGCTCTGCACTCAGGAATTACTCCTGGCAGTGGTGCTCGGGAGACCATATGGGATGCTGGGAATCGAACCCGGGTCGGCCGCGTGCAAGGCAAACGCCCTCCCCGCTGTGCTATCGCTCCAGCCCCTCAGGGGTCATTTCTGGCTCTGCACTCAGGAATTACTCCTGGTGGTGCACGGGGGGACCCCATGGAATACTGTGGATTGAACCCAGGTCCGTTGTGTGCAAGGCAAAAGTCCTAACCCCTGTACTATCCCTCTGGCCACACCCACCTTTGTTTTTGTTTTGGGGACCACACCTGGCGGTGGCTCTGCACTCAGGGGCAGGGCTGGGGGACCCTGTGGGGTGCTGGGGATTGAATCTGGGTCAGCTGCATACAGGGTCGGTGCCCTCCCTGCTGTGCTATTGCTGCGACCCCTGAAAATATATATATATATAAAATATATATATATAAAATATATATATATATAGTTGTTGTTTTGTGGAGCCAGATTTGGTGGGGTGTTTCTGTAGGGATACCCTGTGGCCTCTTTTTTTTTTTTTTTGGCTTTTCGGGTCATACCTGGCGATGCTCAGGGGGTTACTCCTGGCTTTGCACTCAGAAATCACTACTGGCAGTGCTCAGGGGACCATATGGGATGCTGGGGATCAAACTCGGGTCGGCCGCGTTCAAGGCAAACACACTACCCACTGTACTATCACTCCGGTGCTCAGGGGACCATATGGGATGCTGGGACTTGAACCCGGGTCGGCCGTGTGCAAGGCAAACTCCCTACCCACTGTGCTATCTCTCCAGCCTCTTCCTATGGCCTCTTGAAGTGTCTTCCCAGCCCTTCACCAGTGAGTTTGGCCAGAATTCAGAGGCAGAGGAGGAGGAGAGTTGGGGTTCAGGTCAGGAGGCCGGACAGGTAGGGCAGAGGGAGGGAGAGAGGTTAGGATCTGGTGATGGGGTGTCCTTGCACGCCCACACTTGCAGCGGGCACTCTCCTATGGGGGGCTGGCTGGAGGGGAATGCTCGGGCGGGCTCTGCCAGGTGGTTCCATCCCTGAGCCCTCCTCCCCTTCCTCCCTGCAGGAGACTAGCTGCCCCCCTGGTCCCAGCTAATCCTTTTTTTCACCATTAATTCCATTTGTAGGGAGGAAAGCAAATTAGCTCAGTTGGGGGCCAATTCAGCCTCCCCTACAGAGCCAGGGAGTTAGGCAGGGCTGGGCATACTATGGGGAGATTAAGGGGGGCACTCAGCAGGTGGGCTGGACTTGGACTTGAGCTTCTGGTAGGGGGGGTCAGGATGGGGGGGTTGGAGACACCAGGAAACGCCCAAAGTGCCTGAGAAAAATGCAAGTCTCTTGTTTGGGGTTCAAATCTAAGATTCAACAGGAGTCCTTTGGGCCCGAGTCACAGGATCACGGGGAGGGCGTTTGCCTTGCACACGGCCCACCAGGGTTCGATCCCCGGCACCCCATCTGGTCCATCAAGCAACACTAGGAGTGATTCCTGAGTGCAGAGCCAGGAGTGGCTCAAAAATCCCCCCCCCTCCAAAGCAAACAAAACCACCAAAAGTGGCATCTCTGCAGCATCTCCCAGCTGCTGGTGGACAAACCTTCCCGACCCTTCCCTGGCATCCCTGTGCTGAAGCAGAGTGATGGGCCGAGGGGGGCTGGAGAGACAAGAATAGCAGAGCTGGGAGCATGCCCACCTTGCACGTGACCAACCCAGATTTGATCCCTGATACCCCATTAGGGTACCTTGAGCCCGTAAATCCTGGAGCACAGAGCCAGAAGTCAGCCCTGAGCACCCTCAGAACCAAAAAAAAAAAGTGAGACTGACAGAGAAGCGGGGGTACTGGGAAGTGAGTGAGCACCCCATGTTGGGGCAAACTGAGCCGCTGGTGGTTGACTGAGACTGAGGGCAGAGTTTGTCTTTGTTTTCTTTCTTTCTTTCTTTTTTTTTGGGGGGTCACACCCGGCAATGCACAGGGGTTACTCCTGGCTCTGCACTCAGGAATTCCTCCTGGCAGTGCTCAGGGGACCATATGGGATGCTGGGAACCGAACCGGGGTCGGCCGCGTGCAAGGCAAACGCCCTCCCTGCTGTGCCATCGCTCCAGCCCCAGAGTTTGCCTTTGTTCTGGCCTGTCTGGGTTCCCAGGACCGTTTCCTCTCTTCTCTCCTGCCCGCAGGCCCCTTCCTGGCCGCCTGCCCTCCCTGGCCAGCCCCCAGGTGAAGAGACTGTCCGCCGCCAAGCGGAAACAGCACTTCATCAACCAGGCAGTGCGCAATTCGGATCTGGTACCCAAGGCCAAAGGGCGGAAGAGCCTGCAGCGGCTCGAGAACAGTGAGCAGGGATCAGGCGCGTGCCCGGGAGCTGGGGGGCAGGTGGGCACCTAGGTCACGTCTACACAGGGCCTTCGCACGTTGGCAGAAGCCTCTGCCAGGGGCCTGCCCTGGGATTGTGAGGGCTGGGGTTTTGACGGGTGGGGAGGAGTTCAATAAAAGACAAGAGAAAGTCACCAAAGTTAGGGAGACTGGAGAGTTTGGGTTATTTGTTTTTATTTTGGGGGGGGGTGGTGCTCTGAGCTTTCTGGGGAAGCCTAGGGGCTTGGGCTGAACTAGAGAGCCACTGGGGGTTGGTCCCGGCGCCCCTTCTTGCTGGCCACCTCCAATTCAAAGGTTGTGTCTCTCTGCCCATCAGCTCAGTACCTCTTAACCCTGCTGGAGTCAGAGGGGGGCGCATCTGGTCCTGATGATGGGGACCTGCCCCCCCCAGCGGCACCGGGCATCTTTGCGGAGGCTTGCAACAACGAGAACTACGTGGAGGTGGGTCCCCTCCCCAAGCAGCTGGGCAGTGACTGTGGGGGTCCTCCACTGTCCCCCCACCCCTCGCAGGACCCTTGCCCTGCCCAGAAGTTTCCAGCACCCCTGATAGGTCCTCGCCCTTCCCACCACCCAGCTCGAGTCCGGCGGGCAGAATCCCAACAGTCTTGGATGGTTCCTACCAAGAGTATTTCCAGGGGCTGTTTCTATGCGCACTGGCCAGATGGGGAAACTGAGGCCAGAGGATTAGCACCCCCACCGCCCCGCCCCTCCACCCCTTGCATCATCAGCCCAGGTTCCCTTCCCCTGGCTTCCTAGATCTGGAACGACTTCATGAACCGCTCGGGAGAGGAGCAAGAGCGAGTCCTGCGCTACCTGGAGGAGAGCAAGAGCAAGACGCGGAGGCGGGGACCTGGCCGAGGGGAGGAGAGCAGGAGAGGTTGGTGGGGAGGGCCCGGAAGTGGGGGCGGGACCTAGAGCTGCGGGATGGGTAGCTATAGGGCAGAGCCGGGGATGGGGCGGGGTTTTGTGTAGATAGGAGGGGCCGTGGGCGTGGTTATGTAAATAGCCGGGACCCTGGCAGAGGGGAGGACAGCAGGAGAGCTTGGTGGGGAGGGCCCGGAAGTGGGGGCGGGACCTAGTGCTGCGGGCTGGGTGGCTATAGGGCAGAACCGGGGATGGGGCGGGGTTTTGTGTAGATAGGAGGGGGGGCCGTGGGCGTGGTTATGTAAATAGCCGGGACCCTGGCAGAGGGGAGGACAGCAGGAGAGCTTGGTGGGGAGGGCCCGGAAGTGGGGGCGGGACCTAGTGCTGCGGGCTGGGTGGCTATAGGGCAGAACCAGGGATGGGGCGGGGCTTTGCGCAGATGGGCGGGGCCGTGGGCGTGGTTATGTAAATAGTGGGTCCCGCTAGCCGGGACCCTGGGCCGGAGCGCAGGACCGTGTAGGTGACCCCTGCACATTTTCCCTTGCTCCCTGGTAGTTGACCCGGCCTTCACACCCCGTGAGTGCTTCCAGCGCATCAGCAGGCGTCTGCGGGCCATCCTGAAACGAAGCCGCATCCCTATGGTGAGTCCCTGCTCCAATTTGGCCTGTTGGGGAGTGGGTGGCCGTAGGGGTCCAGGGCTAGAGAAGGTCACTTCCATAGCGTGGGCGATGTCTGGGGTCAGATACAAACCCAGGCTCCCCCGATGTCCCTGAGGAGGAGTGCAATGGCAGGACAAGGTGGGTGGGCACTGAGGGTCGTGTAGGAGTTTTCTGGGGGGCATGGTTTCGGACAGTTTCTCCCGCCTGACAAGTCCCCTGCACCCAACGGCTCCTGCAGGACACTCTGGAGACCTGGGAGGAGCGGCTGCTGGCCTTCTTCTCCGTGTCCCCCCAGGCTGTCTACACGGCCATGCTGGACAACAGGTATCCGGGGAGGGCAGAGGCACCGGATGGAATGGGACTTGGGGGGGGCGGAGGGGCATGGGGTGGGTGGGGTTTTGGGGTCTAGGGGCACGTTTACTCGGTCACTCAGCGCCCCTTCTCTGCAGCTTCGAGAGGCTCTTGCTCCACGCCGTGTGCCAGTACATGGATCTTATCTCAGCCAGTAAGTGTCTCCTGAGCACCCGGTGACTGGTCCTGGGGGCCAGGCGGGCTCCCGGGGCTGTGGGCGCCGGGAAGGAGGCAGGAGGGTGTGGAGGGCGCCCAGAGCAGAGGGGACATGAATTCCTTGCTTCCGATGCACTCCGGATTACTCAGACGCGCCAAGGTCCTCATGGCAGCTGTTGGGGGAGTCAGAGTGGGCGTGGGAGGGAGAGGGTGAAAGTGAAGGAGCCGGGACCCTTCCCACGTGGACTTTCAGCAACACCCCCTCCCTCCCATCTCAGAACCTGTTCCCCACTTCTGGGCTGGGGATGTCTCAGGACTCACTCACTCACGCCCCCATAGATCTGGGAGTGGGAAGTGGAGGGGGGGATGTCTTCGCCAGCTCCAGGCACCCCAGGGGTTCCCGGCTCCCTGCCTGCCTTTGCTTCCTGCAGGAGTTGCTGCTGGAGAGGTTTCTATGGCAACCCTGGGCGACTCCTGCAGCGCAGGGGGGGGTTTGAGGGGATTGTGGGAGATGGCTTCCCCCACCCCCCCCACTTGCCCCCCCCACTTGCTTTTGTTTCCAGACTCAGGAGGGAGGAACAGGGTGGAACTGTGGACTGACACCTGGAGAGGGAGGGGCTGTCAGGTGGAGACCCCAGAGGGGCATCCCAGAGAGGGTTCAGGGGTTCAGGCATGGCGAATCCAGGTGTTGTGGGATGAAAGGAGGGGACGCATGGGGCAGAGAGAGTACAGCCAGGAGGGTCCTCACCTTGCATGGGGCCAACCCGGGTTCAACTCTGAGCCCCACCACGAGTGACCGCTGAGCGCTGCAGGGCACCTGTAGTGCTGGGGAGCGAACCTATGACCTTATGTAGGCCTGGAGTGCGCTTTTTTTTTTTTTTTTTTTTGGTTTTGTGGGTCACATCCAGTGATGCTCAGGGGTTACTCCTGGCTCATACACTCAGGAATTAATTCCTGGCGGTGTTCAGGGAAGCTGGGAATCGAACCCAGGTCGGCCGTGTGCAAGGCAAACGCCCTGCCCGCTGTACTATCGCTCCAGCCCCAGCGCGCCAGCCCCCTGAATGGGCACCCTAGCCCAAAGGGAGCGTGGCTGGGCCGGGTGTCACCTTGCTTCTGGGTCTGGGGCTGGTTGGGGGCAGGGAAACCTGGTCCCAGCCCCTTTGTGGTGATCCCTTAGCCTTGGGTGGGCCTGGGCTGGGTGGGCCTGGGCAAGGCCTGCATGGATCTGGGTAGGGTCTTGTGACCTGGGGCGGGACTGTGTGGAACTGGGCGGGGCCCATGCAGAGTGGGTGGGGCCTACTGGTCCGGGGCGGGGCCTACTGGTCCGGGGGCGGGGCCTGCTGGGACAACTCTGGGGGCTTGGGCCTTGGGGGTCCCAGGGGACCAGATCTGGGCCTGAAAGCTCAGCCTGGCCATGACCTCCCCTTGTCCCCTCTCTCAGGTGCGGACCTGGAGGGCAAGCGGCAGATGAAGGTGAGCAATCGGCACCTGGATTTCCTGCCGCCCGGGCTGCTCCTGTCGGCTTACCTGGAGCAGCGCAGCTGATGACGGGCCCCCCCGGGCTCCCCCTCTGCCCCCGCGCCGCCCCTCCTACAAGAGCTTCATGGTTTTAAATTGATTGATCCTTGACAACCTGCTTTCCCCTTGGGGTCGGCTGCGTCTCACCCCGGCCCCTCCCGCCTGCCCAGAACCAGCCATACTGGGACTTGTATTTGGGTGGGGAGACCCACCAGGTCCCTTCCCGGTTCCTTCCGTCCGTTTGCGCCCGGCCCGGTCTGAGCTGACTCCGGGAGGCAGTGAGCCTGGGATTTTTCTCCCTTTTAATTAATTCGGTGTGATTTGTTGTACATTTTTAAAATTTTCCTTTGGGGAAGGAAAACCAAAAATTTGCCCCAGCTGATGGGGGGGGGGGCTAAGGGAGGGGGAGAGTGCTTTGCTCTGCCCCCTGGCTTGACACCCCCCTCCCTCCAGCTTGGGGCTCTTCCTGGCGCCCCAGGAATGGTATCTTGTGTGTGTGCGCGTGTGACCGCCTGCATTTTATCCTCTTTGACGGATTGTGTGTCCCTGGGGGCCCTTCTTGGGGGTCTCTGGGGGCTCCTCCTGGTCTGTCCTTCCCTTTCTTCAAACTGGGGTTCCGGGGCTTCCGACCAGAAGCCTCCGCCCTCGGACTGCCTCGTTCTCCTTAGCTCTGCCCCTTGGGTTGGGGGTGACCTCATCCAGGTCACTCTAGATGGTCACCCCGCCCGTCCCACACAGGGCAGGGCAGAGCCAGACCCCTCCCCCCACCCGCAGTGTGACGTGTGCGCCCAGACAAGAGAGTTCTAATAAATTTCTGGTGCTCTGGTCCTGGACTCTGGGCATTTTCCTTGGGTTGGGGACAGGCTGGGGTGCACTGAGCACTTAGGAGCCAGGTTACAGGGGGAGGGGGCAGTAGCAAGGGTTCATGTTGTGATTGCCCCCTGAGGTGAGACCCTCGACCCCTGAGGTCCAAGCTTCCTGGAGGGTATGAACAAAGGACCCCATGCTGTGGTGCTTAGAGACACATGGATTTTTATTTTGGCAGGGGGGTGCTTTTTGGGTCACACCTGGTGCAGTGGTCAGGGTTTAGTACTCAGAAATTGGTACTCCTGGGGCTGGAGTGATAGCACAGCAGGTAGGGCATGCATTGCCTTGCATATGGGAGACTCGGGTTCGATCCCTAGCATCCCGGATGGTCCCCGAAGCACCGCTAGGGGTAATTCCTGAGTGCATGAGCCAGCGGTTAAAAAAGATATTGGGGGGCTGGAGCGATAGCACAGCGGGGAGGGCGTTTGCCTTGCACGCAGCCAACATGGCCAACACAGGTTCGATTCCCAGTATCCCATATGGTCCCCCGAGCACCACCAGGAGTGATTCCTGAGTGCATGAGCCAGGAGTAACCCCTGAGCATTACTGGGTGTGACCCCAAAAAGCAAAAAGAAAAAAAAAGATATTGGTACTCCTGGCAGTGCTTATGGGAGGCCAGGGATTGAACCTGGGTTCGTTGGTCTTATCGCTCCTGTCCCAAGACACATGCTTTTTTTTTTTTTAATTGTTTTGGGGGGGTCACACCCAGCGATACTCAGGGGTTACTCCTGGCTCTGCACTCAGGAATCACTCATGGGGTCCACGTGGGATGCTGGGAATTGAACCCTGGGTCTGCTGCGTGCAAGGCAACCGCCCTACCCGCTGTACTATCGCTTCCGCCCTAAGACACCAGAACTTGATCGTTGTCTCCTAGTTGGATCCCAGCTCTGCAAGCTCATGGGTGCTGGCTCTTGATCCTTCCTCTTGCATACTCAGTGTGACTTGGCTTGGTTGGTGGAGCCCCTCAATACAGCAGCCATCAGATCCTGTGCAAGGCAAGTTCCTTCAGGTTGGGGGGGCACCCTCTAGGGTGCCAGGGATTGAATCAGAATCGGCCACGTGTGAGGCAGTCACCTCCTGGTTGTGCTCAGGGGACCATGCTGTGCTGGGTTTAAACCAGGTTTGAACTGGAGCCATAGTGCAGTGGGGAGGGCATTTGCCTTGCCCGCAGCAGACCCAGGTTCGATCCCCAGCATTCCATAGGGTTCCCCAAGCCTTGCCAGGAGTGATCCCTGAGCGCAGAGCCGGGAGTAAGCCCTGAGCACCGCTGGGTGGGGCCCAAAGACTGAGACAGAACAAAAACCAGGTTTCCTACGCACAGAATCATCTTCCCCCATCATTGGGAAACAAATCAGGGCTCTTTCAGATCTGCAGAGATGGGATCTCCGTCCCAGAGTCCCCTGCACTCCCCTCCCCCAGCGTCCCACCTGCATGTGTGCCTGCCTGTGTGTCATTGGGTACGGTGATCAAACCACATGGGGCACAGCTGCTGTGAATGCCCCAGGTCCCTCAGGTCCTGGATTTCACATGGTCCTTGGGGGTTAAGTGGTTCCCCAGATCCCAGAGCTTGGCAGACCTGGAGGATGGGGCCCCACAGGGAACTTGTCATCTGGGTTTTCTGCTGTTTGCTCATCATTTGGAAGGTGGGGGAGGGCACCAGCATCCCCAATGACCCGCCACATGCCGTTCCTTTTTTTTTTTT